AAAAAAAAAAAAAAAAAAAAAAAAGAAAACTAAAAAAACAAAAACACCACCAAGAAAAAAACAAAAACAAAAACCCCAAACCTAAAAACCCCTTAATCTCTTACAATGGCTCTTGAGCATGGAACTCACGTAGCAGCGTCGATGGCTGGATCTTTAGTAATTTGGAAATAAAAGGTCGTTTTACTATGTATTTCTTTGGTAGTCATCACTACAAAGTTTTCAGTGTTGGTTACCTATAAGACAAGTACTAGATAGAAGATAAAGTTATGCGGAAATATTTCTTCTATACTGATAAGATAAAAATAAGTGAGCTCTCCAAGCACAAGTTACTATGCTTTTTCTTGCCTTATTGGGCATCCTCTATAAGCAAGGCTTCGTGCAGAAAAAGTTCATGTCTACCTAACAAAGGGCAATAGATGTTCTATCTTCCTACAGTTGAACAGTTCACGAAAATTCACATTATCCGTTATTTCTGGTCAAATCAGTTAGAAGCCGATTACAAAGGGGCAGCAAGCACTTGGTGTCAAAGCCACATTCTGATCACACATTCATTCCATGGTTGTGGTCAGTCTCTCAGGAGCTCAGAATTTAAAACTCCTTTCAATTAACAAAGGAGCAAAGTTAAATCAAATCTTAAATACTTCCACCATCTGCCAAATCTCTAGAAGTCTGTCTAGAACGCCAGCATGCTGGATGAGAGAGCGCAGTTCAGAGCCCAGAGACGCCTCAGGTGTTAGGGAAAGTAATTTGCTTTTGTATAAAAGGCATGGTCATCTGGCGAGGAGTACTTATCCTACTAGCAGCACAGTGGTAGCCAAGGGTGTCTGTCAGCAAGACAGGAAAATGAAGCTACTGAACCTGCTGTGGCTCCCACCTGCCTTCCAAGGCCTCTGGGGCCTCTGGGAGTCTCAGTCTGGGGTTGCCCTGGGCGGGTGGGCAACAGGAATAGCAGGAACCAAGTTCAGCACACCCCCCACCCCCGAGAAGTGCCCCAGATAAGTCAGCTTCTCGTGGCCTTGGGGTTGGAATCTTCAGGGTTCCTGGGGCCTAAACCATTGCCAAGGAGCTGCCCTAGCAGGTACTGCCCAAGTGTGACAGGCTCCATACGGGGTCATAAAACACTCGAACAGGACATGAAACAGCATCATCTCAAAAGAGTAGTGTTTGTTCTATCAATCCAGAATGTCCACCGGGAGAGGCAACTAGATTTATGGTGAAAAAGTGCTGTTTGAAGGAGCTGTGTTTTACTTTGCAGTGAAATGACTAGTCTAAGGAAACTGGCGCTACATTTCTGTAGAAGTCTGGATGTCCAGAACCTGTCTCCAAAAGTCATTTATCAGAACTGTCTGCTCACTCCAAGTGCTTTTTTCAGTCACCACAGGGCAATGTTTTGACTTTTGTGCTTTCAGGAGGTCACTAAATCGCTAGCAAGTGGAGGGAAGATGATTACATTTTGGACTTTCTTGTTTGAGTGCATGACACTATTCAACAGCACTGAAATCTACAGTCTCACAGAAGATTCTTGGAAACATATACCATGTCTCCTATAAGAAAAACTGAGAATTGTACGATGCGGGCAATATTTGTTCGCCTGCTCTCAGAATTCCTCAGAATGGCCAGGTGCCAGGAGGGACGGTGAGCCGCTGGTGAAATCCCCGGGGTTGGACAGGACCCCAACTGACTGAATGAAAAACCTCAAAAAGCCTCAATAATTAAATGCCAAACTTCTTCCCTATATTTGAAAACTGTACTATGATTATGTATATTACACATTATAAATAAAATTTATAGAGACCTACGATTTCTTTCAAATGACTGAGGAGTGACACTCTCAGTTTGGAGGTGGAAACTGAAAGAGCCCCCCCAAAAAAATCCTATTGTTGCTTTTACTCTCAAGTTCTTAAGATGCTAGTCAAACACTATTAGCCAGCGAGACGAGACCTTTTCTCATTCTGTAACTTTTAAATATGCAATCAAAGGCAAAAGTGGAGGTTTCTCTACTGTACAATATTAAATATCTACAATGTCATGGTTCCTTAAGGTTAGGAGTGTGTTCAATAAAGAGCTAGCTATTAGAGATGGCTGTCACAAAACATGGACTCTTAAAAATTACGGATAAATTAATTTTCAGTTCTCTGATTATATCCAACAGATACACATTCTCATCATAAAATATACATTCTCTAGTAAGTTATTTTTGCCCACAGCATATATAAATATGCAAACACAGGTGGTAAAAATCACGTTACTACCAAAGTACAAAACGGTAACTGTTGAAAAGCCAAAATAAAGGTGTTGCAAGTGTTAAGAAAAGACTGACTCACGGCGTTCCACTTTAGAGTGAAACCAGATGATTTATTTGTGCTAAATGAATGGAAATGACGCATTCAGGATATACTTCTTTGTACACTGCGCTTGCTTTTACTGGGCGAACTAAGCAGTCCTCAATGCTGATGTGCTACTTTCCTCTACGCCTCTTTCCTGCCAGCAATAAAGTATTTTGGCCATTGTGCCAAGATGTTCCTATAATGTTCATTTCACATAGTATTTTCTCATAGTACTCTGCACCTTTAAAATACCTGTTCGAACTCTCTTTTAGGGGAACGCGAGTGGAGAATGTAAAGGGAAATGAGCTGTTTCTGTCACCATCACATTGCCTTCTGCAGGAGAAATCACACAGCACATTCTAATCAGCCATCGCAACCACTGGCGGGTAGGATAACAGTTATCGACTCACGTGAGAGGGCCAGTTTGGGTAGGGTAACATCAAGGATAAAGAAAGACTCACACCCGGATATACGATAATTATCTATCCCATGTATGTGGAAAAGGTACAGCCATGTGATCCAATACCTCAGGACATCTGTTTTACAAGAGACATGGATGTTGAGATATACTGAAAATAACCCATACAAAGTGTATCCGTAGAAAGCTCTATTAAACATTGTCTTGGGCACTGATGCATCCAACTTCCCATTCTATAGTGAGAGCTAGATTTTCAAAGGTCTGAATTGTAGTGCTGAATTACTGGTATGCTTGGTAAACACTATTCTAATGGGGCGGGGGGAGGTGGGTAATAACAGCTCAGTAATTTTCTGCAAATTCATGGGAAAAAAATATAAAAAAGATATCCCTTTTTATTTTACAAACCTAAAAGCCAGGAAAATGAAGCTCTGGGGCCAAGCAAAAAAAACTGCACACCGCTGCTGAACTACCAAATAGTCGAATAGCCGACGTCCCAGCCAGGGAATGGACGCACATGAAGATTCAAGTAGAACACCGATGGAGAAAGTCGTCTGTTTAGTGTTGTAGACCCACAACACTGGCTGCGTTTCCGACACACATTTACAACACAATGAATAGTGAAGCCTAGATAACCTCAGTGCAAATAAGTCAGATCCGAATATGCCAGGGAAGGAAGCCTGTGGCGTCTTGAGTCGACGGCTCCACTGCGCGAACGAGTCCCAACACGAGGTTCGGACTGCGCACGTGCATTAAGGCTGGGAGGAGGGGTGCACCGAATGTTGCGAGGGGGCGGGCTGCAAGGTGGCTGCCGAGGGGACCGCGGGCTGCATGGGTGGCGGAGGTGGAGGTGGCGGAGGCTGGACGGGGGTCTGTGTGTTGGGAGACGGAGGCGGCGTGGGCCGTTTGAATTTGTCAGGGCTGTTGCTCCTCCGCGGTGAAGGCCTCTGTAGACAGGACAGGAATAGCAGGTCAGAGCAGGCACAGACGGCTCATCCCTAACCCAGCGTGACTCGGAGCCCAGGATGCCCCAAAGAGGACCCACAGAGACCAAACACCAGCGAGGTCCTTGTCCATCCCTACGGGTTTCTGAACCCGTCAGGAAAACTTCAACAAGGTAGAGTTTACACCGACATCTATGAAAAAGCTATGCAAAATCACTATGAAACGTGCATCGACCGAACGACTGGAGTTTCGCCCTTCGATGAGACAGTCCTAAAATTAAAAAAACAGCTGTCACGTCCTCCCCTTAAATCTTTTCTGTTCGTTGTATGTCTCCAGTTCCTTCCATCCCTCAAACAAGTTGCCAATGTCATGAGAGCTACAGCTCAACCGAAAACGTTCCTGCTTTAATGTAAAGCTCATTAAACCAGCAAAATAGATTCAGAAATATCTTACATGCTTTTTTTAGAGAATGGGGTTCTTCTTTTCAAGATTCCCTCGTTGGGAATACCCTCAGTTCTACCCTATTCTCAAACCCCTATTAGCGACATTTCTAACCGGTCTATTAGTCAACTAAATAGCCAGCTCTAATGAAAACACTCCCCTGAGTAGAGTTTGAACCAGATACACTTAAGGTTCCTTCTAATTCCAGGAAAGAAAATTCTGGATGAAACTAGAAACAAGTCTAATTTCAGGAAGAATACGGAGGGTCAGTGAACTGTGAAGGTGCGGACAATAAATATTTTAGACATTATGGCAACGAACGATAATTCGCTATGGAAAGGAGCTGGCTAGAGTTCAAACGAGGCATAGGCCGGAGGTCAAATTACGTTTCACAAAGGGCAACATTTCATAAAAAATGAAGGTGAAGTTTTGCCTCCTGGGAAGGATTTTAGTTTCAACACCAGAATGTAGCATCAAACTGTTGGGAGGTCTCTAGAGTTTAAGGTGAACTGGAGGAAGGAAGGAAGAAGAAAGGTAAATGTCCGAGGACATCAATGTTGGTTCCCACGGAGGACCAGTCGCTACCACCACCAGGAGGAAAGCGCTGCTTCCTGCCCCATGGATACTTACTGTGATACCGTGGGAGGCTCCCATATGCTGCACATGAAGACCTGGGGAATTGTAATAAGACATTCCGGCTCTAGTCAGTGAAGTTGGTGGCGTGAAACCAACTGTGTGACTTGCATACGAGAGACCTGAAATATAACAACAACTTGTAAGTATGATTACAAACTCAACTATCTGGTGTCTTTAAGCATCTAGGAGCATCTAGGAGGCTTTAAAATGCAGAAGTTCTTAGTCACCCACAAAAATGCAAACAGGTAAGAGGAGTGGTGGGCTCACCAAATGGCCTGCTGGATGGATAGCAAGGGATATAAAAGTCAAGCCCTGGTACAGACTAGACAGCCCAGAAATAAGTGCACACATAAATGGTCAGATAATCTTCAGTGAACGTGCCAGGAATATGCAATGCGGAAAGGGTAGTCTCTTCAACAAACAGTGCTGGGAAAACTGGAGATTCATGTGCAACAAGAATGGAAGTGGAGCCCTATCTTACACCATACACAAAAATCAACTCAAAATGAATTAAAGACCTAAATATAAGACCTGAAACCATAAAACTCCTAGAAGGAAACACAGGGGGAAAGCTTTATGACATTGGTCTTAGTAATGATTTCTTAGATATGACACCAAAAGCACAGCCAGCAAAGCAAAAATAGCCAAGTAGGACTACAGCATCCTAAAAAGCTTCTGTTCAGCAAAGGAAATAATCAACAGAAAGGTAACCTATGGAATGGGAGAAAATATTTACAAACCATATATCAGATAAGGGGTTAGTATCCAAAATATATAAGGAACTCCTACAACTCAAAAGCAAATAAACAAATACCCTGATTTAAAAATGGGCAAATGACTTGAATAGACATTTTTCCAAAGACGACATACAAATGGCCAATAGGTATATGAAAAGATGCTCAGCTTCACTAATCAACAGGGAAAAGCAAACCAAAACCATAACAGGATATCGTGTTACACCTGTTGGGATGGCTATTATAAAAAATAAAAATAAAAAACATTTTTAAAGTGTTGGCAAGGATGTGGAGAAAAGGGAACTGCTAATGGGAATGTAAATTGGTAGAGCCACTACAGAAAGCAGTATGAAGCTACCTCAAAAAATTAAAAATAGAACTACCATATGATCCAGCAATCCCACTTCTGGCTATTATCCCAAAGGACTGAAAACAGGATCTTGAAAAGAAATTTGCACTCATGTGTTCATTACAACACTGTTCACAGTAGCCAAGACGTAGAAACAACCTAAAAGTTCATCAACAGATGAGTGGATAAAGAAAACATGGTATATACATACAATGGAAATATTATTTAGCCCTTAAAAAGAAGGAAATTCCTTTAAAAAAGAACATGGATGAACCTGCAGGACATTATGCTAATATAAGCCAGTAACAGAAGGACAGATACTGCATGATACCACATACATGAGGGATCTAGGTCACACTCACAGAAGCAGAGAGCACAACAGTGGTTGCCAGGGACTGGGGGTAGAGGAAATGGGGGACTGTTGTTCGATGGACACAAAGTTTCAATTTTATAAGAAGAATAAGTTCTAGAGATCTACTGCACAACTTTGTGGTTTTTGTTTTTGTTTTTGTTTTTAATTTTTGGTTGCGCTGGGCTTGTGGGCTTCATCTAGTTGCGGCGAGCGGGCTCTTCGCTGTGGTGCGTGGCCTTCTCACTGCGGCGGCTTCTCTTGTCGCTGAACACGGGCTTTATGTGTGTGGGCTTCACTAGCTGTGGCATGTGGGCTCTAGAGCGCAGGTTCAGTAGTTGAGGTGCACGGGCTTAGTTGCTCTGCGGCACGTGGGATCTTCCCAGAACAGGGCTCGAACCCATGTCCCCTGCATTGGCAGGTGGATTCTTAACCACTGCGCCACCAGGGAAGCCCCATTGTGCTTTTTTAACAATACTGTACTGTACAGTTAATAACGTGTTAAGAGGGTAGATCTCATGTAAAGTGTTCTTATGACAACTAAAAAAGACCAAAGTCCAGCCTTGACAGGAGTCCAGCTGAGATGTACAAAAGTAGAAGACATGAGAAGAAACAAGGGTAAAGCGGAAAAAATAGAGCAAAGGGGTAAAAATCAGATGCAAGAAAAGGGTAAGTGTCAAAAGATATACCAATAATAACGAGACAAAACCAATGGGTGTGTATAGCAGCCACAAAGCAAACAAAAAAATCACCACTGAGAACTTGGCAACTTCAGGATATTCAATGAAGAAAACAAAAAGCCCTACATATGCCAATGCTCCCCCCAAAGAAACTGATATTTAAGGAAGAAACACCCCCAGCCCACTATAACCTTCTGCATAGTCTTCATCTAGGACCCCAGAATCAGCTCCAAAGTTTAATGCCCAGATCTTAGTTCCCTGACCAGGGATCGAACCCGTCCCCCTGCAGTGGTCTAGCAGTCTTAACGACTGGACCACCAGGGAAGTCCTTAAAGACGCACTTCTATAGTGTCTTTTGACTTCCACAGTTGAGACATGCAGCCACCACGCCTATCTTTAGTCGTCCTGTCCCAGAATTTGTCTGTGCCCTCAACATCTATTGTTAGGGATCTTATTTCTTGCTTTGACTATCAACTAGTGTGCTGCTTTCTATTTGACATTTCCAATTGTAGATTTTTGGTTCACATGTACAAAATGGAGGTCTGGGGTAAAGCACAAGTCTTTGGGAGCTCAGTGGTCATTTACTGTGACTTGTATTTGTATCGCAAGAACTTCGTTCAGCTTGGGGAGAGAAGAAGGGGTTTTCTTTAAACAACTTTGGGAAATACAACCCTAATTCCGTTTCTTATGAAAGTGATGAAATTTAAGGGAAAAGCTTTCAAAGTAGGTCCTTATCCCCAGATAGAGAAGCTCAGGGGGTTCGATTCATAATACAAAATAAATGAATAAGATCAAGCCCATTGCCCAGTATGACAAGGTTAATAATGATGAGTATGTTAATCTGCTAATCACGAATCTTCAAAGACCGCCTATTGCCTGCCCAAATTAAAAAAAAAAAAAAAAAAAAAGCCCCTTCTCTGGCTATTAAAAAGGCCTGCATTTGGCTGCAAACTATCTCCTGATGTTCTAGATCAGTGGTTCTCAATACCGAGAATCAAAGCCCTTGTCCGACCCCAAATCAAGTGAATCCGAATCTATGGGGAGCAGGGCCCCAGGGCAGCCGGTGATAAGAACCACAGTGACCTGATCACTCTTGATTCTGACCTCCACGTCTCAGTTCCCACCATGGCCTTTGCCTGGGATGTCTTCCCTTTACTGCAGGACTTGGTTTCTCCTTCTCCCCTTGTCAATCAGGACCTCACTCAGCCTTTGGAGGGGCAAAGAGCCCAGACTCCGGAGCCGACTGCCATATTATCTCGGGCTCTAGTTCTGCCACTTGGTGCTGAGCGACAGTGGACTTTAGGTCCCTCAACTGTGAAATGAGATTATCACAGTGACTGCATAAGGTTGTTGTGAGGATGAAATGAGTGCCTGGCACAAAGGAAGGGCTCAGCATGTTTCAGCTCATTAACCTCTCCTTCAGGGCTCTTCTCAAAAGCTCTCTAAGCTGGTAGCTCTCTCTTCTTTGAAACTCTCTTTAAATTATTTAGCGCTTTTTTTTTTTTATTATACCTTTTAATTTTATCCTAACTTTTTATTTTGAAATAGTTTGTGATTTGTAAGAAGTTGCAAAAATACTACAGGGTCCCTGTCTACCCTTCACCCAGCTCCCCCCAGTGATATCTTACATAACCAGAGCACACTGTCAAAACCAGAAAATTGACACTGGTCCAATACAAGTGACTAAGGGACAGACTTTATTTGGATTTCATCCGTTTTTAATGCATTCTTCGTGTGTGTGTGGGTACAGGGGTAATTTTTATCACCTGTGTAGATCCAAGTAATTATCACCACAATCTGGATACAGAACTGTTACGAAACCACAAACAAGCTTCCTTGTGTTGTCCCTTTATAGACACCCCTTCCCTCTAATCCTAACCCCTGACAACGACTGATCTGTGCTCCACCACTGTAATTTTGTCACTTTGAGAATGTTATAGATATGAAATCACATAGTATATAACCCTTTGAGATTACTTTTTCATGCATCACAATGCCCCTGTGATCCATACAAGTTATTGTGTGTATCAAGTTAATTCCTTTTTAGTGCTGGGTCGTATGTCACTGAGTGGGTGTACCACAACTCAACTTTTTAGGGGATATAAAATACATAAAATTTGGGCTTCCCTGGTGGCACAGTGGTTAAGAATCCGCCTGCCAATGAAGGGAACGTGGGTTCAAGCCCTGGTCCAGGAAGATCCCGCATGCCACGGAGCAACTAAGCCCATGTGCCACAACTACCGAGCCTGCATTCTAGAACTCATGAGCCACAACTACTGAGCCCGTGTGCCACAACTACTGAGCCTGCGCTCTACAGCCTGTGCTCCACCAACAAGAGAAGCCACCGCAATGAGAAGCCCGCGCGCCGCAATGAAGAGTAGCACCCACCTGCCGCAACTAGAGAAAGCCCACGTGCAGCAATGAAGACCCAACACAGCCAAAAATAAATTAATTTAAAAAAACTATAAAAAAGGCATTATTAAAAAACAAGCAAACAAACAAACAAACAAAATATATATAACTCATTATACTTGGCCTTGTATTAAGATTATCTTATTTCTTGTGTTTTGCCCCCTACTTCCCTAGGCCCTATAAGCTCTGAGAGGCCAGAGACCATGTCTTACTAGCTTTTGTTTTCCCTTAATCATCATGCATCTGACCCTCTTGCCCAGGAATACAATCAACAATAAGAATCCCAAAAAACCTAGGTAGAAAATAACTCCTAAACAGAATACTGTGGCTTTATAAAGCTATTCCTGGAATAAATTGCTCTTGCTGTGCTATACAAATGCATTAACTAGAATAAAAATTTTAAGATTTATTTCACTGTCCACAAGCTCAAGACAACAAATTTTAAAAATGACGCATGAAAAGCAATTCATGACCAAAAACCACTGAGCAAACTGAATCAAGATACCAAAGTGTATAATCCATAGAAAACCAACTACCTAAAGGAAAACTGTAAGAGGTCGGGGGGATAGGGAGAGGAGACACTTGAAAACACTAAAATGTTAACACTGCCTTCGGATAAAAGGATTCTGGATGATTTTATTTCTGCTTCTTTATACCCTTCCGACTGCTCCCAGATTCCCTCTAATAAATCTTTGCTAAAGGAAGAAAAAAAAAACAAGCATCGCTGAACCAAACTAAAGGCGGACACCTTCTGTTCCTTTGAAATTTATCTTAGTTCCCCAAGTCAGACATGTCTCTGTTAACATTCATACGCTAGAGATTCGACTTCGTCTTTAACGCTCTCTGACCTGGCTCTGTCCCCATCACTCCATCAAGGCTGCTCTTGCCAAGGCCAGCAGTGTTTCCGTTCTGCCAGGTGCACTGCTACTCTCCACCTCTCACTGCACTTGACCTTGGGGCAACCACAGATAAAGCTGACCCCTCCCTTCCTGCTGAAATGCTTTATCTTAACCTCAGTGACATCGGATACCAGTTTCCCTTCCCCTTCCCTGGTAGCAACTTCCCAATCTCCTTCACCAGGCTTCCTCCTGCACCTGACCTCTAAATATTACATCCTTCAGGATCAGATGGGAGGGTTTTTCTCTTCTCCCGCCATCTTCCACGACTAGGTGATTTCATCTATGTTAGTAGCTTTCTTTAAAATAAATTTTTAAATTTTACAATAGTTTTAGGTTTACAGAAAAGTGGCAAACATAGTACAGAGAGTTCCTGCATCTCACACACTCAGACTCCCCGTTATTATTATCATTATTATTATTATTATTTTTTGGCCGTGCCCCGAGGCTTGTGGAATTTTAGTTCCCCAACCAGGATCGAACCCAGGCGCTCGGGAGTGAAAGTGCAGAGTCCTAACTACTGGACCACTGGGGAATTCCGAAAGATGCCCTATTATTAACTTCTTAAGCCAGTGTGGTACCTTCATCACAACTAATAAACCAATGTTGACACATTATTATTAACTCAGGTCCATAAGTTATCTAGATTTCCTGAGGTTTTGCCTAATGTCCTCTTTCTGTTTCAGGAACCCATTTAGGATACCACATGCTATTTAGTTTTCATGTCTCCTTAGGCACCTCTTGGCTGAGATAGTTCCTCAAACTTCCTTGTTTTTGATGACCTTGCCAGTTTTAAGGTGTATTGATCAGGTATTTTATAGACAGACTGTCCCTCTACTGTCTGATGTTTTCCACGTGGTTAGACTGGGGTGATTCGTTTTGAGGAGGAAGGCTACAGAGGTAAAGGGCCCTTCTCATCACATCGTATCAAGGGTACATACTACCGACATGACTGAGCAATGTCGATGCTGACCTTGATCTCCCAGATGAGGCAGTGCCTGTCAAGTTTTTCCTCTGTAAAGGTACTTTCTTTTTTTAAATAGCTAAGAAGTTTTTTTTTTATTATTTATTTAGTTATTTTATTTATTTTTGGCTGTGTCGGGTCTTAGCTGCGGCACGCGAGATCTTCGTTGTGGTGCACGGGCTTCTCTCTAGTTGTGGCACACAGGCCCTAGGGAGCCCGGGCTCTGTAGCTGTGGTGCACGGGTCCCAGAGACTCTGTAGTTTGCAGCACGTGGGCTCTACTTGAGGTGCGCGAGCTCAGTAGTTGTGGTGCACAGGCTTGGCTGGCCCGCGGCGTGTGGGATCTTAGTTCCCTGACCAGGGATTGAACTCACGTCCCCTTCATTGTAAGGTGGATTTTTTTACCACCGGACCGCCAGGGAAGTCCCAAGGTACTCTTTTTCTTTTTTCCCCTCCCTTTCACACTGTATTCTTTGCAAGGAAGTCCCTATCTTTAGCTCACATTTAAAGAGTAGGGAGCTATTTCCACTTCCGTGAAGATGGAGTCTCTGTGTCAATTATTTGGAATTCTTCCGTATAGGTGATTTATCTCTTTTCCCGTGTTTATTTACTTAGTCAGTCATTTGTTTATATCAGTGTGAACCAATGCATATTTGTTTTATGTTTGGGTTATAATCTAATATTACATTATTTATTTTATTGCTCCAACTGTTCCAGTTTGGGCCTCTGGGAGCACTTTCAGTTAGCTCCTGTGTCTCTTGGGCCCATCCTCATCTTTCAGTTTTTTGACCTTCTCCTTACTTTCCGGCATTACCAGACTGTCCACGTTCATCTTGTATGTTCCCTGCCCAAGGCCCTAGAAACATCCATTTCTTCCAGGGGCCCTAGTTCTTTTCATTGGAGAATGGAATTAGAAACCAAGATCTGGGTGGTGGGTATGCCTGTTGCTAGTGGGGTGCAGATCCTTTTTAAAACCTCAGTATTCCCCATGGCTGATGTAGGCACATGAAAATATGTTAACTGGGAATGTCTTTTTCTCAGGCTATATAAAATAGTGAACCTGAAAAAAATTGTTGAAAAAATAATCTCGTCCCTCTATATAATCCACATATATAAATCCACATATAAGCAAGAAGATTTTTCGTAAGTACTGGGAAATGCACCTTTCAATCAAATTGTGAGGTCGCCCTCAAAATATTCCAAGTCAGGGGCTTCCCTGGTGGCGCAGTGGTTGGGAGTCCGCCTGCCGATGCGGGGGACGCGGG